AACTTTCAAATTTTCCTTCAACAAGAGAGAAAAAAAAAAGGCCAATTTATCTAATAAGTCTGGCTTTGCCATTTACAAAAATTAGTTGGATTTTCCCTAGTGGGTATTAAATAAATTCATCTTTGATAATTCTATTCCTTCTGCCAATTTTATCAACTCAGCATGTAAAGGAAGAATTCAAGAAGTAGGTACATGACTGGTCCGGTATGAGTAAGTCGTACAGTACCTCCCCATACAGAGGATACTACTTGAACCAGAGACTTCTTTTCAGCTCCAAACTTAGAACCAGTAACAGAATCTAGACTGAAGGACAGAGAAGGAAAGAAGGGAGGGAGAGAGGAAGGGAGGCAAAGGGGAGGGAGGGAAGAAGAAAGAAGTAAATTTATTGGCAGAAAAAGGTTTTTGAGTTTTTATTTTTATTGTATGTATTTGAATGTTTTGCCTGCATGTATGCTAAATGCACCATGTGCATGCAATGCCCAAGGATATCAGAAGAGGGAATCAGATCCCCTGGAAAGGTTGTTAGCTGCCATGTGGATGCTGGGAAATGAAACAGAGACCTCTGTAATTGCAATCAGTGCTCTTAACTGCCAAGTAATCTCTCTAACCACCACAACCCCCACCCTGGAAAAAGCTTTAAGAGAAAAAAAACCTAGCATTTATATTGATTTAAAAATTAGTGGGAAGAGTAAGCCAGGTAAAGACAAGAGGAAAGAATTTTTTTAGGAATAATACAGAATCTCAAATAAAACAGGCTATCACACATCCTAAGAATCTGAAGGAAATTCTTCATAGGTAAGACACAGATTAGCAAAAAACAAGGATGGACAAATTTGTAAAGTAAGCTACATGGCAACAGCTATAATGACAGAAAGAACAACATTTTGAAAGTCAGAATACAGGGACAATAATGAGGGAAAATGAGATTCAAAGAGTTCAGCCAGAAGGCTAGTGCAAGGCACAAGTCTGTTGCGTCAGCACTGGGAGGCTGAAAGGCAGGAAGATCTTGAGTTCAAAGCCAGGCTGGGCTGTATGACAAGATCTTATCCTTCCACTCAGCAAAAAAAGCCAGAATCTGAGATAGATTTAGAAGGTGTGCTGGATAGCTTTAGTATCAACTTGACACACCTGGGTTGAGGGAGCCTCAGTTGGGGAATTGCCTCTATTGGACTGGCCTGTGGCCATGTCCATGGGGCACCTTCTTGATTGTTGAGTGATGTGGGAGGGCCCAGCCCACTGTGGGTGGTGTCACCCCTGGGCAGGTGGGTCTGTGTTGCATAAGAAAACAGGCTGAGCAGGGAACAGAGGAGCTAGCCAGTAAGCAGCATTCCTCCATGGCCTGTGCTCCAGCTCCTGCCTCCAGGTTCCTGCCCTGAGTTCCTACCTTGGGCTCCCTGATGAACTGTGACCTGGGATGTGTACGCTAAATAAACCCTTTCCTCCCCAAGTTGGTAGTGGTCAGAATGTTTTGTCACAGCAATGAAGAACAAACTAGGACAGAAGGCACACGCTAGTGACTGAGTGGGTGATAAGGGATGGAAAGAAGGTATATGCCATGTTTCTAACTAGCTGCATACTTTGGTGGCTGTATCATTTAATGATAAGAAGGAACTAGGGGAAAAGAACACAGTAGGTCTTCATTATATCCAAACTTAGTATTTGCAAATTTGCCACTTGCTAGAAGCTAGTTGAACTCCAAAATCAACACTCATACATCCTTCATAGTCATTCACAGATATGTACAGAATTTCAAAAAACTCAAATTGTCCAATGCACATGTTCCCAGTCAAGGTTAAACAAGGCAGCACCCAAGCCTCTTGTTTCAGTTTCAATAATATAAACAAGTATCACTTTTCTGGCCTATCCAATGCCACATTTTTTGCATTTTTGGGCTTTTTGTTCCAGATTCTGCTGGAATGGACCCAACTTATAGTATTAAAATGCTGTTGATTGCTTCTAAACTCAGGATACCTTGTGATGTGACCTACAGAGACAATATGCATGTTAAACAAGCTTCAAACATTATTATAGTGCTATTGGCTAATGTTGATAAATCAACAATATGTTAAATAAGATATCTCTTCATTTTGCAGGGGAGAGGGC